GCAACTTGGACTAAAATGTCCCAATAAAATTTGTTCAACTTGTGTAGAAGAAAAAGCCACAAGATCTCAATTTTTCAAGAGTGAACAACACACAAATGCCATAGGCGAACTAATACATAGTGATATTTGTGGACCAATAATTCCAAGCACTATCGATGAAGGAAAATAATTTCAAGTGATATTGGATGATTTTTCACACTTTTTGGTGAATAAAATTTTAAAGAATAAGAGTGAAGCTGAAGTTAACTTAAAAGAATATGTTCAAGAAATTGAAACACAACATACCTAATGTGAAAGTAAAAAGATTTAGACTCGACAATGGTGGTGAATTCACCTCAAAACTTTTCCGAGAATTTTGCAAGCAAAAAGGTATCAGATTAGAATATACCATTGCTTATACTCCACAGATAAATGGCAAATCTGAAAGAATAAATCGAACTCTACTGAATATGATTAGAACAAAAATAATAGACTCTGGTATACCTAAAACACTATGGGCAGAAGCTTTAAAGTGTTCTGTTTATGAATTGAACAGAACACCAACATCTGTTCTACCTAGAGGTCAAACACCATCATACATTTGGCACGACAGAAACGACATCAGTAAACTGAGAATATTTGGCTGTAGAGCATGGTACACTTTATTGCCAAAAGGACGAAATATTGACCCAAAAGCAGTTATGGTGGGTTACTGTGGTGGTGGCCATATTGTCCGTCGATTTTTATCTGACACTTTCCATGAAGAGCGAAGGGGTGAAGTATATGGCAAAAACAGGTGTGACGTCAGGTGACCATTGGCGTTCTAACGTAGGGAACCACCAGCTCACATTTTTTTGGAGTATCAGATTAAAATCGACGGACTTTAGATTAATGGTTGAAAGATGAAGAAAAGGTCATAAAATCAAGAGATGTGCGATTTGATGAGGGATTTATGGAGTATAAAGGAAATACACAAAAATATGACATAAGTATAATACCTATACCTGAAGAGGAGGGCAATAACAGTGACGAAATGCAAGAAATTCAATATGAGCTAGACGAGACGGAGAATGAACATGAAGATACAGAAAGTGAAGACGAGCAAAGTGAGACTGATAATCGAATACATCAAGTGGAAGCAATTCGCTCAGGAAGAAATGTTTTAAAACCAAAGAATTTACAAGATTATGAGTTATATGTTGCATACTGTTTACTATCTTCATCGGATGCAAAGCCAAAGTCATACCAAGATGCTAATGAATCAAAGGAATGGCGATAAGTTATAAATAATGAGTTAAAGTCTCATGAAAGGTTAAACACATGGATACCTGTAGAACTACCAAAAGGTCAAGTAGCCATTGACATGCGATGGGTTTTCAAAATTAAAGAAGATGGCACGAAAAAGGCACGATTAGTGGCCAGAGGATTCCAAGTTCCTAATGACAGCGAAGAATTTAGCTATGCACCAGTTTGTCCACTACCAACAATAAGAATTATGATATCAGTTGCTGTGCAAAAGGATTGGACTTTAAAACAAATAGATGTACCAACAGCATTCTTAAACGGTGTACTGGATAGTGAAATATATATCAAAACCCCTGAAGGACTAAATAATTGTGAATCTAATTATCTAAAATTAAACCGTGCACTGTATGGACTTCGAAATGCACCAAAATGTTGGAACTTCAAATTTAATGAGGTTATGTCAAAAATGTCATTCAAGAGATCCGAGTATGACTACTGTTTGTACGTTGAAGAAGATGTATACTTAGTGTTATTCGTTGATGATGCACTAATTACAGGACCTGCTGAAGAAGTAAATAAAGTGATCAAAAATCTATATGGCATATTTAAAGTTAAGAGTATGTCGGACGTTTCTACATTTTTGGGTATGGAATTTAATCACACAGAAGATGGACTTAAAATTTGTCAAACAAAAATGATTTCACGATTGCTAAAAGAATTTGGATTAGAAGAAAGCCGTTCAGTAGCAACACCTATGGAAAAGAACTTTCAAATCAATGAAAAAGAACCAGTAGAACCAAATATTCTATATAGAAGAATGATTTGTAGTTTAATGTATTTATCAATTGTAAGTAGACCCGACATTGCTTTTAGTCTATCATTTTTGAGCAGATATCTTGATAAACCGGATATGCAACTCTAGAAAGCTGGTAAAAGAATTTTACGCTTCCTGAATATGACAAAAACCTATGGACTGATGTACAAGAAAGGTGACAATGGACTAGCTGGGATGTGTGATGCGGATTGGGGAGCAGATAAAACCAGTAGGAAAAGTGTTAGTGGATTTATATGCTATCACGCTGGTAATCCGATCGCCTGTCACTCCCGCAAACAGAATTGTGTAGCATTCTCATCCATGGAAGCAGAGTATGTGTCAGCAGGAGCAGCTACCCATCAAGAACTAGTGAACTTGAAAAGCATTTTATCTGAATTTGGTGAGAAAGCTGTTATTTTGAAATTGGACAATCTAAGTGCAATTAATTTCTATGCTAAAAAAACTTTGAAAACTCCAAACGAGAAAAGCATATAGAAATAAAAGATCATTTTATTAAAGAACTCTGTTTAAAGAAAGAAACTGTTCTTCAATATATTAGCACAGCATATACAAAAACAATCAGCAGGCTAACTCTCACGCGCATCTTTTATGCGCATGTCGCCATTAGGGGATACCATCCTGTCATTAAACGGCATGGGCGCCGAAATTTTATTCTATTTGTTTATTTCTGATGGAGGTCATAGGCGTGAGATATAGAGCGAAATATTAGCTAAAGTCTGTTTTCTTTTTAAAGATAAAGTCAAAATGACATTATGTTGGCAATACAATGTAAAATTGTCAATGCTTTCAATTTTTTTATATAGAAAAGGCTTGCGTTGCCAACATAGTTACTAGATTTTTTACTTGGGGAATTATCTTTAAAAAAGAAACACACTTTATGATTTTCAAAATTATTTTAGTATATTCGTGTTGTCATTTATGGTGTTATCTGTTATCATTCTTGTATATTCAATAATATTAATAAATAAGTATTATAAATATTATTATAGGTAAGTAATAATGAATTAGTTTCTTTAAAGCCAATACGACTCTGTAACACGAAAGAAAAAAACCTAAATTATTGTTAATCAGGCCCTGTCTCGTACCCCAAAATGGCTGCTAGTGACGTCCCGACCATGAATTCCTTTATTACACGGGCTGTCACACCCAATGAAAGTTAGCCTGCTGATTGTTTTTGTATATGCTGTAATATTAGTTCTGTTGACAATGACTCTGATATTTTTACTAAGGCTTTAGGAAGAGAAAAGTTTGTAAAATTTAGATCTAGTTTTATGTGCAAGTAATTTGTGAAGTTACTATTTTAGTTTACCAGAGTTCCAACCCAATCACTCCTTAACACGAACAACATTACATTAATTGAATTCCAAAATAGTTATTAATGAAGCTGCTTACGATCAAACCACTTCATTTTATTGTACCTAAGTTAATTTTGAATCTCTGAACTGTTTCAGTTCTCATTAGGATGCTCTAGAACCGATAGAACTAGTTCAGAATCGAATTCGATACTGAGTGTATTTTCATCTTTCTCTCTTGGCCTGGTTAAGAAACAGATAGAATACATTTTTCTTTTTTGCACTAGTGTGGACAACATAACATTAATTGAATTCCAAAATAATTATTAATCAAGCTGCTTATACGATCAAACCAACTTTATTTTATTGTAAGTTCATTTTGGAACTCTGAACTATTTCAGTTCTCATTAGGATGCTCTAGAACCGATAGAACTAATTCAGAATCGAATTCGATACTGAGTGCATTTTCATCTTTCTCTCTTGGCCTGGTTAAGAAACGGAAGGAAATACATTTTTTAGGATCGGTTTATCAATGGACGGTTATGTAGTTTAGCTGTTGGTTAACTTATTAATTATTATTGGTTAACCGAGAGCTGAATTAGATAACCGACCATTATTAAACCGGTCCTTAGAAATAGACATTCGTAGATAAAAAAAAAAAAAAAATGCACAACTATACCCTAATTCTCCGTCGTTAATAGCATTAGAAGAAACAGCGCGGTCCTAATCACTTTTAAAGGTGTCCTGATACCTTGGACTAGGGTCCCGTCGTCCCCCATTTGCATGGATTTGCATGCATAGTTTATTAAAGCACTCAAAAGGACGAGCCGATTAAAAACCTTCCCATCTTTAAGACTTTTTCCAAATCCAATCTGCGAAATAAATACCTAATTATCCGTTGGGGTCAAATTTTGGTAAACCTTACCAAACATAGACACATCTGTGAATTATAAAGGGGGTTAACCAGGACGAAGGCCATATGGCATCCACCGTTTAATTTCCGAGATTGAACTTGACTTAGCGAACGTTCGATTTGTCACACTCACTTTTCCAATCTGTTGCCAAAAGTGCGTGTGTTGTTGGGGTTAAATTAATACAGAGCTGGAATGGACAGTTTTATAAGAATCAGCCTATAGAAAACTCGATAAATAAGGACAGAATTTTACTATTCACCAAAATTAAATAAACTGGTTAAAAAAATGTAAATAATATTCTTCAGAATGCCCTCACAAAGCTTCCAACCTATGGAATGATAATATGGGAAAATTTCTTTGCTATGCCGACCCTGATATAGAAATATCTTGCACCCCCAAATGTATAGGGTAAAATTTTCCTTGTACACATATAAAAACTAAACGGTGGTAATTTTGTAATTCGTTTAATGAAATTGAGTCTATTGTTGTTTTGGGTATAGGGGACCTGAAACGGACTTTGCGGTCAGATGTTCATAATACAAATTTGTAGCCAATAAAGGGATTTATGACAAATTTTGATTAAAAATAAGGAAATTTTCATCTCAAGAAAAAAGCCAAGATCAAAGGCCAGAAGTAATCGAAAAGTTGTTTGTTTATTTACCAAACACTGTAATGGGGGGAAGATATTGATTGGGAATTGCCTCCGGTGAATGTAAAGTGTCTCATTATAATATTTTATTAGGCGGCATGATCGAGTACTGAATCCTAATTATTTTAAGGTTGACAAGACACTTTTAATGTCAACTTTTTTTAGAGAACACAAAGGCAAATCCAATTTTCAATCCTGTCTTTTATACCATTAAATAAGAAAATCAAATACACAGATCTTCAAATGCAAAATCAAGAGCCGCAAGTTATCGGAGATGTTAACAATAATGACGAGATATTGTTGCAGGTATATAAAAATCATTTTTGTCCTTGTTATTGAAGAGTATCTGTCCATATGTTTCTGAAGATGATTTTTCTCTACCTCAGTATCTTCTTGCCTATCAAAATTTGTCAAAAGTAGGTATCTTCAAAATCCTTTTTCGTTATCTTATTATTCATATCGATGAGCCACTAGGGAAAATTGGATGTGAATCCTATTTTCTATTCGCCTGTATCTTTTTGCCCTGCCTATGAAGATTTTGTAGTTTTTAAGATTGACTGTATAGAGTTTCGAAAGTTTTCAACGAAGAGCTTCAGAATCTTTGATGTTGTAAACGTTAAATCAGCATCAGACTCTTCATTTTAAAAAATTTGTTTCGAATGCTTGAATATGGATTATTTTAGGATCGAATAGTAAGAATTTTAAGTTACTCAGAAGAGCCATCAAATGTATTGTTCCTATATTTCAACGAAGAATTTCCTGCTGACCCTCCTTCGTGTTCACTTTTTGATGACGATATCCAAGACGAAATTGGAGATGGAAGTTTCAATAGTATGTTAAAGGAAAGCCATTATAATTTATTTCCGAAGCTTGTTACTAGTAAAATTTTGGTTGGTCAAGAGGATACTTCTTATAGAGTTGAAGGTAAATAGTAGCTAAATTAGATTTTAGGCTTTAAGAAAAAGCTTGGTTTTAGATATAGTTACCAGCGTATATTTTCCTTCTGAAGAATTTGCTTGTATAGAAGAGCTTAGTCCGATCAGGAAGTTTTTTTCGAGAATTTGGAGTTGGTGCAAACCGAAAGCAAATTGTAATAATGACTAAGTTATTTTCAATAAAGCTTTTCGTATTAAAAAATAAATCTTCTCTGGAGGAAAACTTTTCTCCATCAAGTTTTAATAACGGGTTTTTTACGAGGTGTCTACCCCTTTTGCAACTGCCCTATTCCGAAGAAGAATCTTAATTAAAAACATCATTCTTAAGTTAATTAAGAGGTTCATTGAATATTTCCAGGATTTTGCCAGACTTTTAATAAACGTTTATTAAGGAGACTATATTTTTCCAAGAATATTAATAATTTGAAAAGAATTTTTGGATTTGATTCATCAACTTACGAAATTCGCTACACTTGACAACAGTGCGGGACGATTTCATCACTGAGGCATTCAAATGTTGAGCTCAGCACAAAAAGACCTATTTCTTGGCCTAATGACATAAATAATTATTATCTAAAGAGAAAATCAAAATTTTCCTAGAAGCATCTAAGAGAATAAACGTGATATATTCTGGAATAAGTAAATCCTAACAAAATTATTCGTTTGACTGGACTAAGCAAAACGCTTCAAATTGATGCAAGAAGAAGCCAAAAAGAAAGACCGTCTTCCCGAAAGATTTCCAGTCCTGATTGCAAAAACCAACGACAGACTTTCGTTGTTTTCCTTGATTGAAAAGGACTTCTAATTGCGTTATGCAAATGGCTGTTTTTGTGTATTTGCGGCTTTGGAAAATCAGAAATTCGGGCGGGGGGTTAACTTATTGTCGACCGGCGTCTAAATCCAATTAAGGAATTGGAAAAAACAAAGAAAAGTAACAGTTTGTAATAATTATCGTTGAAAAACATTTTATTTTTTATGTGTTTCCCATTTATCATAATACAATTTTCCCCCCTTTGCTCGAGAGCAAAAAATAAATAATATGAGACTCTCAGGCAGGATCCTATCGAATTAAGCACATTACCGACAGTCTTACCAATTCCAGGCACTTGACTTAATAAGCTCGTTGATTTATGTAAGGAGATCCTGCGGATGGCGACACTGTTTTATTACTCTGCTGCCTGCTGCTGCTGACAAAGGAACTTATTTTATGGAAAACGTAATACATTTCTGGGTTTTTGGTTTGAATTATAGGATAGTTTTATTTGGCTTAAATGAAAAACTGGAATTAGACTTCTGGATAAATCTTCACAGAAATGTACTACATTTACGGTTTACCAAGTAGAAATCTTTATAATGTACTGCGTATGCCTTTTGGACTGACTAATGCGCCAGCCAAAATCGTTTGAACAATGACAAAATTAATAAAAAAAGTTTTGATTTAATTAGTCCTATAAGTTGATCGAGTAATAATTGTTGATTTTTCCTTTTAAAATTTTTATTCTTCCTAGTTTACCAAAACGAATTCTCTCTGGGGCCCGTTCAACCCCCGTCGAAGGGTGGAAGCGCGCAAACTTCCGCAGCCCACCGCAAGCTCTTGCATAAAGTCATGAGTTCATTTCGTTTGATTGAAATCCTCTCTTATTCTTGTCTGTTTGAAAAAGGCCGATCTCTGCGAGAACTCATTGTTTTCGGCGCCCCGACCTCATGCATACTTTCATGTGGAGCTCCACCGGGCGAGATTAAGCGAGAGTAATTGGACTTTTATGCCGGGGTTAAAACAAAACGGATTTACATTCTTTTTGGTAAGTTTGTTTAAAAAAAAAAAACGTGGAAACATTTTTATCCCAATTGTCACCCAAGCTCATTTCGGGTCCCCCACTCCCCAGTGCATCAATTGTCGAGTCAATGGTGCGGATCAAACAAAAACTATCCCTGAGGGCCCACGTTCATTTATCTTAATACAAATGAATCGCGCTGTCGCGTCGTTGAGTCCTGAGGGAACCCCAATTATTTTTCGGGCTACAAATAATGGTCTGTTATGTCGTTTAGTTGCGACAATTTGTTTTGATTGCATCTCAGGATTAATTTCTTTACGTTTAAGCTCTTTTGGATGGATGGAAGATTAACAAGGTCCAAGATCATTGTTTGTATAACAATGTAAACTGAGAAATATTTTTTTTACGAGCGTGGAAATAGAAAGTGAGGTTATGTGTTTGACGTCAGCTGGTGCATAATTATGGATGAAATTAATTCTATAGAAAAATTTGCTCAACAAGATGCTTTTCGAATACACTCTGTCCATTAACCCCAAGTAAATACTTCCGCCAGCACTCAGACTCTTAAATACCGAACCCAGGTCAAATATCTGGGTCCGACACTCGATTGCAAACTATGGTTTGTCCCCTCATCGAAAGAGAGGTTATATGTATGACTTCAGCAAGTGCCTAATTCCAAGATCCAAAACAAAAACTAATTCAAATTAACCCTCCAAAAAGTAATCATTGTTATAAAGCGATTATAAGATAAAACAAGTCCTCGTCCTCCAACATACTTCTCGACCGGAAAATATCGCAGATGACAAACGGGAAAATGAAAATGTCCCGCGACGAGTCCGAAATATAACGTTGGAAAAACAGCCGGTGTATTTCGAACTCATGCATATTCATCGGATAAATATTTGCAGCCTGTGCTTCTTCTTCTATAATATAACGTCCGCTCATCCAGCGTCGTTTTCCCAAAGCTGGAGCTGTGATTCTCTGGAATATTTTCCATGTTTTTGTTCCCCCTTTTGAGATTTTATGTATTAGATATTAGAAAATGATTATTTATGCACTGCTCCATATTATAGATTTCCTAGTTTCAAGCAAAGGAATATAAGTTAGAATGTCACTCTGTTGACTTATCTTTTTTAACTTTGACTGCGCACGCAACTCGTGGGTTGCCGCTGAGCGTCCAATGAGAAGCGAGTTTGTTAGGGGCTTGCGTCATATTTCAGTAATCGTTGCTTCTTTCTCTGTAAGGTGTAATTCGACAAAGAGCAAACTAATACTTTACGTATTACTTCTGAACTCACGGCAGTGTTGTTTAAGGTTATGTTAGATTATACGGAAAGCAAAAACATATTCCTTTGCACTTCCATTTTGCGGTGCGATGTTGCCGGATGAAACATTTATCAAAAAATGCAAACGATGTTAACATACACTTTAGCCCGGAATTACAGAAGCTGTGCAACACCGAAATACAAATGCAGGACCTGTCGTATTACAGAAGCAGAATGCATTTGCAAGTCACCTGCAAATTTGCGCATGGTGAAATGGTCCCGTGACTCCTTGCAATCACTTTGACAACTTTGAAATTCAAAACTGGTAAATCGGAGCACCTTTTTTCGATAAATATGACGGAATTGACCTTTTTCAATTTAAAAGCCTCTCTCTCTGGCATCAAACTGTCAGAAGCCAAAAAAGTATGAAAACAATGGTTGACAGCCATTGACAGTGGTCTGTAGACAAGATTTTTGAAAGAAACTATTATTTCCTCGATTTTTTCAAGGTTTTATCCTAACAATGGTGATTGTGTGTAGTGTGCCTATTCATAAAAATATTTCCTATTCACTGGCGGACGTGTCTTTCCATAAGTTTCCATCAAATCCTACATTTGTCAAAATTTGGATACACAAAATTAGAAAGGATACTCGCAAAAGAAAGGAAAATCCACGGCCCATCAAGTATACAAAGTAATCCACGTTCAAGTTTAGTTTGCAGAAGCTGTTTGCTTCCAAAATAATCCACCACCGTCTCCATAGCGAAGTTCTGCGAATGAAGCAGTGAAATTTCCCACATTTTCTTTCCAATTTCAAACCATGCGTTTTAATTCTTATCAAGTTTTACCGATGGGTCCATCATTCTATGTCGGTCATTGTCATTTTTCATTCACTTAACAAAGATAGCCAACTCATCGGTGAAGCCACCAATTCGAATAAAAACGAGGGGATTGCTTAACACCCAATACACATTGACATTGACAAGCAAGCAAATGTTGGCGGGAAAATTAATGTTTTCATACTTATCGTCCATCTCTTTTAATTGAAAACGTCAATTGCGGATTTTTTCAGTAATTTGCTCGTTCCTGCAAATAGAGCACATGCAAGTCGGCCATACATAATTTGCAGATGAAAATATACTGTAATTGGGTTCAAAATCTTGAAAATTGTATACTTTGGTTGATTTTGGAAAGCGCCTGCATTTTGACAGTTGCTGAAAGTGCATGGCCAATTTGATTAAAAGTGTCTATTTGTCTCTTTTTTATATTATTGATTAGAAAAGGACCGATGAAAATCGACAAAAGAAGGCACAAATATCGCAACGGTACGATATGGTTAATTTTTGGAAACATCCATTTTTTGACATTGGCTTTTTTATTATGTTTAATTAAAAAAGGACGAAGATAAACAAATAAAAATACATCGATTTAAAAAAAAGTTCACTGTCTTTGTTTGATATTATTGATTGGAAGAAGACTTCCGTTTTCCTGACTTCAAGAGCCGGGAATAAAGCAATTATTGAATAAGCTTCAATTTTTCTGGCTCTTGAGCCCAATTTTAGGATTTTGTTTGGTTAACTAATCCATGGCCAAATTGCTAAAAACCTCTGTCAGAAAGTGTCTCTGTCTTTTTTTAATGTCATCAATTAAAAAAGGACGGCCGACAAAAGGGCTACATCGTCGCCACTCTCGAATTATTATTCTCTGATTCGATTTGAATGGGAGAAGAAATTTTAAAAAATTCAATAAAATTGTATAATCTGGTTGATTTAAGGAAGCGCCTAATTTTCGACAGTTGGTTGCTGTAAATGCATGGCCAACTCGATTAAAAGTGTCTATTTGTCTCTTTTTAATATTATTGATTGGAAAAGGACTGACGAAAATTGATAATAAAATAAATGACATAAATATCGCAAAAATGGTGAGTTTTTGGAAACGCCATTTGATTGGCGAATGTATGGTCTTCGCAAGAATAATAAACACTACTACTACAGGATAGCCTATCCTCAAGGCCAGTGTGGAACAAATCTAAAGCCCCCCACCACGCCAAATCACCAATTGTGACGTAAGCAGCATGTCCTTTCTCGCCTTGGCGTAGGCTGTTTGCACCACAGGTCATAATTCCGCGGGCTTTTGTTTTATGCATACTTGGTTTTACA